TAGATAGATATTGGGGGTGTATGGGGATAGATAGATTGATTAGGTAGAGCGGGGTGTATGGGGATAGATAGATTAGATATTGCTGGCCAGATGCCATCAACCAAGCCTGTAAAAATGGGGTGGACTCTGGTCTTAGTTACACCAGCATAACTCTGGAGTAATTCCACTGAAGTCAACAGAGTAACCTTGGATTTACTAACATACCCGAGATCAGGAGCTGATTAAAATGTAACTACTGGGGGTGGGGGGGAGGATAAAACCTTTTTTTATGTAGGGGACAGAATGTTCAGCTAGAAAATGGCCAGGTAGAAGTGCTTATTTTAGTGCAAAATGGGCTGTCTGGTGCCATTTGCCTTAAATTATAGGATGCTCCCAGGCAGCCTCCCCTGACGAAATACTGCCATTTGCTGTTGCTAGAAATAATCTCTTTACATGAATTTTAGTGGGTTTATTTTTTTCACCTCTAACACAATGAATGGACGGTGGAGATCTCTGCTTCTAAAGCGTTTGGCATCGTTTGGGGGAGGGCAGTTCTCTGGCGGTAACCGATGCAAGGGGAGCTGTCTTTTTTAGACGTGTGAGGTCTGATACCCCCGTGGGGTAACTTACCCCAATGCCAAGTGAGTGCACAGTGGGTGCCCAATGCTACCAGAGCAGAATATACAGAGATCACTTTGCTCACCAGCTGCAAGGCACCAGAGAATTAGGACCTCTGGGTCCCTCCAGCAGCATAATTCAGCCTGTCTCCCATTGCAGAGTTTGCTGGGGAGACAAACTTGCTGCCTTTCCTCCCTACCCGATTGATCTGTAGTTGCCAAAAGAAGAGAAGGGCCCCTGTGGGGAGGGACGTGATCCTGTGAATGGGAAGTTCATGTAACTTGCCTTGCCTAACCATCTAAATTGGCAAGCTGCATCCCTCGTGCCAGCCGAGTGGTGGGGAGGGGGGCGCTGGGGAACTAGCTCATCAACCAACAGACAAGCCTCCCTCGCCGCCTGCCAGCTCCCAAAGCCGCGGCCAGGCGGGACTGAACTTGATAACTTGCTGCTGCTGCCACTCTTGAAACAGTGCCCCATAGTCTTTAGCTGGGTCTACCTCTTAAAGGGACAGCTGCACAAAAAAATAAAGGCCTGCTCGTTCGCTCTCTCGCATACACACACACACGGCTCCTTCCAGCTGTAGGAGCCCATCCCTGAGCCCCATTTTGGAGGCAGGATTTCATCTCATTCTAACCCAGTAGCCCAGTGTGATGGATTGAGCAGAGCAGGGGGCTGAGAGCCAGGAGCTGCTGGGCACTAATGCCTTGCTCTGCGACGCCTTGGGCATGTGGTTTAACCTGTAGCCCATGCAGGTTCCTTCTCACGCATCCCAGTTTGACACCAGCTGCCCCTGATAACCGCTGGGGTGAGTGAGAGCAGGAGTAGGCCTGAAAGCTACCAGCTAATAACATCTCCCCTCTTCTCCCTAGCTGAGGTCTCCTCCATGGATTCTGCCCCCCTACACACACACACTGTACCAGATTCTCCTTTAGTGAAGGCCAGTTGCGTGCCCCTCTGATCCGGCTTGTATTTGCCCGACTGCCTGCTGTGACTCAATGAAACAATCCAGGAGTTTAATTCCATTTCCCTGTAAGCAGAGTTGCGCTGCCTAGTTAAAATCAACAGCCTCTTTTCCCTCTGCCCACCCACCCGGCTGCCCACTCCCCTCCCAAGCTCTGCTCTAAGCCCCGACTCACTGAAACTAATCCTCTCCCAGTGCCAGAGAGTGGCAGGCCGGCGCACTGGGCGATACGGAGTGATGGCATCCACTGAGCAAGCGTTTAGATCCATCTGCCAGTGGGGTCAGAGTCATTTAGTGAGTTGAGCAGGAAACTCCACCTGGATCCTGGGTTCTGTGTCTGGCATTGCTGCTCACTCACTTATTCATGCCACTTCTCCTCAGTTTAGCCAGCTTTAAAATGGGTAACAATAGTGACCCTTCACCAGCTCACTGCAGGTGCTGGAGCGCCATTCGGGATTGTTTGCAAGGCGCTTTCTCATCCTCTGCTGAAAGGCACCAGGGAAGTGAGAACGGCTCTTCTCCAGCTCTCTGCCATGGCAGGACTGCAAATAGGGGCCCGGGAGTTGCTTGTGGGTCCACTGTGGATTGCAGGAGGCTTCTCCAGCTCCGTAGTGAGCGTGGCCCTTTGCCAACACACATTCCCCAGGTCAGGTGGGAAAGGAGGCAAACAGCAGAACTGGAATAAACACACTGCAGATGCCACTCCTATGTAATCAGCGAGATTAATTCGGGAGTGCACTAATAGCTAGCCCCCAAATGCGCCCTCCATGTTTAAGAACTGGCTCCGGCTCCAGCCAAAAGAGATGCCGACGCTCGGGAGAGCCATGTTCTCACACACCTGCTAAGGGCACATCCCACTTGGGGACACCCCGGCCCCTAGGTCCCCCCTGATTTCAGTGGGGCGGAATCAGGAGCTGAATTTGGCCATGAACTTCCCGCTCGCTGCCGGTCTGAGCAGCCGTGGCCTCTACGTTGCTAGATTACATTAAGGACAGGAGATGAGATGCGTGCTCTAATCCCCTCGTATCATCGGCCTCAGCTTTACAGGACAGCCTCCCAAGAGAGCTAAAGCAACGGCAACAGGGAGAGGAACCTTCATTGATGGAGCAGGCCAACCCTTTCCCTTCCCCGCTGCCTTCTGTGGAGTCATCCAAAGGCTTCCCCGAGCCCACGATGTCCATGTCTGTTGTCCGGATGTCCGGGTAGTTGAGCTGTGGAACGAATTGCCTAGGGACCTTGTGGAATCTCCATCGTTGGAGGTTTTTAAGGACAGGTTAGACAAACACTGGTCAGGGGCAGCCGAGCTCAATGGTTTTCAAACTGCAGGTTGTGACCCAATACTGGGTTGTGGAATGTAAGGCATTGGGTAGCGGCAGCTAACTGCCAACCGGGCCATTAAAAGTCCTGTTGGTGGTGCTGTCTGGCTAAGGCAGGCTAGTCCCTACCTGTTCTGACACCACGCTGCGCCCCGGAAGTGGCCAGCAGCAGGTCCAGCTCCTAGGCTGGGGGCCATGGGACTGTGTGCACTGCCCCCACCCTGAGCACCGGCTCCAGACTCCCATTGGCCGGTTTCTGGCCAATGGGAGCTGGGGTGCCTGCGGGCGAAAGCTGCGTGGAGCCACTTGCTGCTGGCCGCTTCCGGGGTGCAGCACAGTCCACGGTGCCAGGACAGGCAGGAAGCCTGCCTCTGCACCCCTGCTGCGCTGCTGACCATGAGCCGCCTGCGGTAAGCCCGTGCCCCAACCCCCTGCCCCAGCCCTGAGCCCACGCAAACCCAGAGCCCCTTCCTGCACCCCAAACCCCTCTTCCGCAGCCCCACCCCAGAGCCTGCACTGCCAGCCCAGAGCCCTGACCCCCTTCTGCACCCCAACCCCCGCCTCAGCCCAGAGCCCCCTCCCACACCCTGAACCCCTCATTCCCAGCCCCACCCCACAGCCCTCACCCCCGCACCCCAGCCCTCTGCCCCAACCCTGAGCCCCTCCTATACCCCAAACCCCTCTTTCCCAGCTCCGTTGTGTCACGGGCATCAACAGTTTTCTTCATCTGGGTCACCAGGAAAAAAGTTTGAAAACCTCTGGTCTAGCTCAGGGATCGGCAACCTTTGGCACGTGGCCCGCCAGGGAAATCCCCCCATTGGCCTGGAACGACGAACCGCAGCCAGTGGGAGCTGCGATCGGTCGAACCCGCGGAGGCTGCAGGTAAACAAACCGTCCCGGCCTGCCAGCAGATTTCCCTGATGGGCCGTGTGCCAAAGGTTGCCGATCCCTGGTCTAGCTAATACTGAGTCCTGCCTCACTGCCGGGGACGGGGCTAGATGGCCTATCGAGGTCCCTTCCAGTCCTACACTTCTAGGATTCTGTTTCTCAATTCCCTGCTCCGGTTGCTCAGCGCAGGTGCATGCTTCCGCTGCCCACATCTGGCTGCACATCTCGTTCATACCCCTACAGAGGGAAGTTAACAGGCGTACGCAGTGCAGTTACCTTCACCGGGCCTGCAGCAACCTCAGTGCGTGAGTCATCTTGGCCCAGCTGGGCCCCCCCAGATGGATAATCTGGCCCACAAACTAGCCAAGAGGCAGTGCTGCACTTGGGCAAACTTTGAATAGAGCAAGCTGGGCCGGGGGAGGTGATCACTGTAAGGTGGGGTGGGAGGGGTTGAACTAGCCGCCCACCGGTGTGTGCAGGGTAGATCCCCGAGGAGGAGGAGGGATTACAGAGGGTGCTATGAAGGTCATGGAAGCAAAAAAAAAGAGCAAAGGGATGAAATTGAGAGAAGGGAAATGTATCAATGAATTATTGACTCACTTATGCCCGTTGTACACATTGGCTTCAAAGAGACATTCCTGATTTACACCAGTGTCGGGAGAATCAGACTTAGGATGGTAAAGACCCATCAGCTCATTTAGTCCTTCCCCTGGCAAATGCCAGATTATTCCCTGTTGTACATGTGCTTGTGTTAGGTCCCGTCTAGCTTCAAAGGTCACAGCTGATGGGGCTTCTGCTGCTCCCCCTGGGAAACAATCCCACGGGAGAGCCGATCTCACAGCCAGGCAGCACCTGCTGCTTTTCCACCGAAATCTCCTTAGACTGAACATCGGGAGCAGCTCCCTGACGCCGACAGCTCTTAGACGGTGGAAAAGTCTCCCAAGGGGAAGGGCTGGGACCCACATCATATAGGACGTGTAAAGTGGGCAACATGCCAGACAATGGGCTGTAGGCAACAATCCTAGGAGACAGTGTGGTCTAGTGGTGAGGGCCCTTAGCTGGCAGTCCGCGCCCAGCTATGCCACTGACCTGCTGTATGACCTTGAGCAAATTACGTCACCCCTCCAGGCACCAGTTTCCCCTCCCATACTTTGTCTTGTCCATTTGGACTGTAAAAGCTGGGACAATCTCTTACTATATATTTGTACAGCACCTTGCACTGGGGCCCTGATCCTGGCTGGGGCCTCTAGGCACTATTCAATAAATAATATGTTAATGAATAGATAACCTGAGGGTTCGTCTCATCTCTACTGTCTCTGCGTTAGATCCTCATGTGGTGTAATGGGGCGCAGCTCCCCCGGCTCAGTAGAACGGTGCCCATTTACAGCAGCCGTGGTAAAAACAAAAGCCACTTTTCCCATGCACACAAACACCACTTGGCAGGGACACCAGGGGTGGACCAGGCTCCCTAGCTCCAGAATTGCATCTCATTGTCTGCATCAGCAAGGAAAGGAGAAAGCGCCTGTCACAGGGCTGGCGCATCCCGTCACGGCGCCCCTTTACTCACAACTGTCTCGCTCATCTGCAGTGATGGGGAGGGAAATACAGAGAAAGCAGGAGGCAGTTTGGGATATTGCTAGTGGTGGCAGTGGCACAGCGGACTGGGAGTCAGGCTGCTTTGGCTTCTAGTCCCAGTCCTGCTGCTGCTACACTGGGCAAGTCACCGGGCCTGTCAGTGCCTCAGTTTCCCCTTCTATAAAATGGAGATCATATACATAGGGATTCTGCCATGTTTAATATCTGTCTAGTGCTTTGACATCCCCCAGATGGGAGATGGTTTTAAAAAGCCTCTTGAAGCCCTGTTCCAGCTAAGGAAACATCCCATGTGGTGCTGGGGAAATCCAGTGGTTTATATTCCAGTAGCACCCATAGGCACCAGCTAAGATCAGGGCCCCACAGTACTAGGCACTATACAAACAAGTAGGGAGAGACGGTCTCTGCCCCAAGGAACTTACAATCTAAACAGGTGAGGCAAGAGAAGGAACTGACTTATCAGAGGTCACTGGTGGAGGCAGGATCAGAACTCACCTTTTCTGAGTAACAAGTCTGTGATTTGGCCACTGCACCAGGCTGCCTCTCTAAGCATCTTGCCCTCAGACACCCTATTTGCATGAAGACTACAAGGACGGTGCCCTGGCAAATCTTTGCACCCAGCTCTGCAGGTGGAGAACCTCCTGTCACTCCCACCCGCACATCCTCCGCTAGGAAGTTCGCTTTGGGGCATTCACCTTTATTTTAACCCTTTGCTTCCCATGCGTCTTTGCAGACCGCAAGTTCCTCATCGCCAACGCCCAGATGGAGAATTGCGCCATCATCTACTGCAACGATGGCTTCTGTGAGATGTTCGGCTACTCCCGGGTGGAGGTCATGCAGCGCCCTTGCACCTGCGACTTCCTCACCGGGCCTGAGACCACCAAAAACTCCATCGCGCAGCTGACTCAGGCCTTGCTGGGATCCGAGGAGTGCAAGCTAGAGATCCTCTACTACAGGAAAGACAGTAAGAGCCCCTCATTGAAATAGCAACATGTGTAGCTAGGTGGGGGGTGCACACGGGTAGCCATCCTCAGAGTTGTTTGCTAGTGGGAGATGATTGCTATGGACTGGTCTCCCTCTGCACAGACGAGCCTGATTCTCCTCTCCTACTGATGTACTTCTACGGATTTCCCCTAAGCTACTCCTGATTTACCCTAGGGTGAACAAGAGCAGAATCAGCCCCCAGGACCCTGCCTTGAGAGGCTTAAAATGTGGAGGGCTACCTTCTGCCCTCACCAACGGGGTGTCAAGGGGAGCAAGCCGCACAGGATCTGGCCTTGAACTGGACTGAAAACACGACAGAACTGCCTACAGATCCCAGGACTGGGGGGGGGCGAAGGGGAGCAGTATGGGGGGGAGGCGACAGTCACTGTCATGGGGAGCACAGAGAACATCCTTATGGGGCTCCTTTGCTCAGTCTTGATTTTTCCCGTTCATTGCGATAAGGGCCCTGTCTTCTGCTTTCTCCAAAAGGGACACCTTGTAACCAGCCAGCCCCAGTTCTGCCTTCAGGGCAGCTTGGGTTTCAGTGCAGATGCACGGATCTGGGAGCAGCCCAAGCTTGCAAGGGAGGGCAGGTTACACCCATTCTGAGCATCCAGCAAACACAAGCAAATCCAATGGGCCTGGTCCTCCGTCGCCCGGCGCCTTGTGGTGTTATTTACGTCGATGCAAAGCGCGTGTCACCATTCCAATGTGGAGCATTTCCCCCTCCGGCAGGATCAGTCCCATACTGCGCAAGTGGCAGGATCAGACCCGATGGGCCCATTTTAAAGAGGCCTCCCCAAGTGAGTCTGTGGACGGGATCCTTAGTCTGGCTGCGCCACGTCAGTCTGGGCTGGGGAAAGGTCCCCTGAAGTGTTGTCTATTTCTAAAGCAACAGAAGGGCTTGAGCAATCTTCTGGATTGAACTCCCTTCCTGCTTGAGATCCCAGGTTCTGACCCAGAACCTTTCGCCAATGATTCAAACCTCAAAGTCCAGCCCTCAAACTTCCCAACCTATCTCCCTTAGGTACTTGTCTGGACCCCATCCCATAGTATCTGAGCACCTCACAGTCACGGCTGCCTTTATACTCATAACCCTCCAGGAGGCAGGGCAGAGCAATTATTGCCATGTTCCTGGGGGCGGGGAGCTGAGGCGCTGTGGTGGGGTGTATGCCTCACCCTGGCTCTGAAAGGGTTAAGGGGAGCTGGGGAGCTTAATTAGTGGTGGCACCTGGTGGTTGGGCCAGGCCCAATTAAAGATGAGTCCTAGCTGGGGGAGGAGCCAAGTGGTTAGTACAAAAAGAGGAGGCCTACCCTGAAGTAGGGAATGCTCAGTTTCTTTCTGGGTAGCAGACAGTTGACGAGGATGCGGGGAATCTAGAGTAGAGAACTTTCTCTCCAGGGGGCCAGGAAATGGGGCAAAGCTGCTAAGCTAGTGGCTTGTTCTGGCAGCATTTAGACCTCCAAAGAGGCAGCCCAGGGAGGTGTTTGAGTGAGGAGGGACACAAAGGGGCGCCTGAGAGGGATAAAAGCTTGAGCCTAAGGAGGCCAGAAGTGGCTGAAGTCTGTATTCTCATTGGAGACTTGTTGGAGGACTCCAGGGGAGAGCCCTGCAAACCCAGCTCTGAAAGAACCTAGAGAGGCCGTGGGGCCTGAGAAGGCCGAGACATCCTGGCACCTGAGGAGAATGCAAGTACACAGTGGGTCCAGGAAGGGGCTCTGGGAAAGGCTGGCTGACAGACCGAGGGAGGAAGAAGCCCAGGGTGGTTGCAGGGGTGGCTCTGACTAGACAGACCTTGCCTGCTCACTACGGGGTCTCTCCTCTGGAACCCAGAGGGGGGTTACCCCACCAGCCCAGGGGGAAGGTGGTGCAAAGCCCCCTGACAGAAGGGGATAAGAACTTTTGAAGCCCTGAGGGTTGAAGGCCCATGGGGCCCAGCGGCAGGGGCTGAAACCTGAGGTAAAGGACACTGGACTCTTGTGGGTCGGACTTTGTTACCCCAGGGGGGGGCTAAAAGCGACCTGGCCAGATGGCTGAGTCCCAAGAAGGAGCCCACTACAGGGCCAGAGCGGTCGTCAGCCCTAGACGAGGGGCATCTGCTACACCACACCCCGCCTCGAGGGCGTGCGCTGAGGGGACGTCTGCTCGTCCACAGGCACAGAGATACCAAGGTCATAGGCTCGCACCCTAACCACTGCACCATCCTTCTTCCCTTAGAATACACCCATGGGTGCAGTGCCCAAAGTTGGGGTCCTAGGGGTCAGGGAGGGCTCTGACTGTATCCTACTGCCCCTGGAATGGTGACTCTCTGAGGCCGCTGCCTCTGGTGGGGGAGATGGGGCTCAGATTTGCTGCACTGCCAGTCTTCTGCTGCCAGCTGTGGCAAACAAGGCTTCTTCCTTTCACCCAAGCAGCTTTTGGGGGGGGGGGGAGGCTTTTTAAAGCAAAAACAAAACTTTCGATGCACATTACAGGATGGGCCATGGCTCTGCCCTGTAATCTGATTGGTTAGGGTATAAGTGCAACGCCAACAGACCCTGGTTGTCAGCAGGCAGGATCGAACCTGCGGCCTCTGGCGCTTAGTGCATGAGCATCTACTGCATGAGCTGAAATCCAACTGGCTGTTCACTAAGGCTGTAGAGCAGATTCATTTTATCTCTCGCTAAGTGGTCTCGGTGCCACCAGATGGGCCAGAACACCCCACCCAGCAGGTGTGTGCGTTACGTAAGCAGGAGAATGTGATACCATTTGAACTTCCTCCTGCTACAAAGCCCCTGGAAATCAATGGGCAGACACCCACTGACGTCTGCGGGCTTTGGATCGAGCCCTGCAAGCGCCGACCGAGCAGAAACTCGACTGTTAATTCAAGGCTCTGCTTCCCCTTGGCCAGCGCGGTCCCGCCGTACCCAGGCGGTGTTCTGCTGGCGGGATCCAAGCTCTGCTTCCCTCCAGCAGAAGGTGGCTTGTGCGGGTGCAGATGGAATTACGTTAAGATGAAAATGAAGCTTTGCTGGGAAATGCCGGTGATTAATTCTAATGCTGCAGGGAGTTAGTTAAACATTGAGGGCTTGATGCTGCAAACAGGAAGCATATGGAGCCCCAACCACAGCCAATAGGTGCTCCCCTGGGAGAGGGCTTAGAACATTAGGTACTCGCTAGATATGCAAATATTGTTTTGTAAACAGCCCGAGGTACCTTATTAGTTTTTTATCCTTGAAACCCCAATGGTGATGTGGGGGTGGGGAATATTGTTCTAGGTATGAACACCAGGCCAGAGACAGTCTCTGCCCTGAAGATCGGGTGACCTCACCAGACAGCAAATGTGAAAAATCGGGATGGGGGTGGGGGTAATAGGAGCCTATAAAAGAAAAAGATCCAAAAATTGGGACTGTCCCTATAAAATCAGGACATCTGGTCACCCTACCTGAAGACCTTACAACTTAAATAGGCTAGCCAGATGAAGGGGGGGGGGGGGAAGAGAGGAAAACAGACCTTAAGTGACTTGCCTAAAGTCATGCAGCAGGGGAAGCTCAGAATAGACAGGAAGGGCATTGGCCTGTGTGACATTGGGCAAGACATTCTGCCTCTGTGCCTCAGTTTCCCATCTGTAAAATGGGGATAATCGCACTGCCCTGCCTCCCCGGAGTGTGTGAAGATAAATGCCTTAAAGACAGAAGTGAGGGGGACACGTATAAGTGCTTTAGATACCTAGACTAGGACCCAGGTGTCCTGCCTGCCAGCCCAGTGCCCCATCTATTGGCCACAGCACCTCTCATCTCACCTGTCCCTGTTTCGCTGCCTGGGTGACCTGGCGTGGCGCTGAGAGAGCTGCCTTGCGCCAGGAGGCTGATGGCCCAGATTAGGACTCAGTGAATGCTGTCCCCATTTGAATGAGGGTGACTTTCACCACTCTCCTATTGAGGGGAAAATAACACTTCCCTTCCTGCAGCTTTGGATTCTGTTCCCTCTGCATTCCTGGAGTCCTCCCATTACGAATGACTTGCCGCACGCATCAGTAACAAAGACCTCATCAGAGTCTCTCTTCTTGCAGGGTTGTTAATTGCTTTTATTCTAGTGGAGCAACTTTAAAATCTGGTGTTTGGTGATTTGCCCCTCTCGCTACCTAGTGACCAGGGTAGCGTCTGTATCGCCCTGCACTTTCCCTTTAAGAGCCAGGACACGGGCACAGGGGACTTGTCTTCTCAGAAGGATCTACTGTGACCTTCTGTCCTAGGGGGGTGGGGAGCTCTTCACATTAGAACCCGTGCATACAGGCTATGAGGAGCCAAGCATGGGTGTGTCTTAAGGGTCTGATCCTGCAGAGCTCCTTCAGCGTCGCCGCTAGACAGGCAATGTGCCTCCCTGGGGGGACAGCCTGTGCAAGCGCAGTGTGATCAAGGGGCGGCAGGAGGAGAGCCAGAGGGCTGACGTTACAGGATGGGTGGCAGGAGTTGCTCAGAGGCTGCGGATGGAGATTTTTTTCTTGCTGCCTTCGGGGTTTGCCAGGGCTCCTTAAAGAGGGCAAGGCGACTCCGCCAGCCCTGCTCAGAGAATCCTGGGGTGACTATTAAACTGACAAACCACAGCTATGGTGACGTTCCGACTGCAGGCAGCCCAGAGACACGGGCGAGGCCGGACTGGTGCAGGATGCCCGGCCGAGCCACTGCATTGGCTGGGCCACAGGGCTTGACTTGGAATGGAGACCTGACCCTGTTTCTGTAGGCACAGCTGGGAGCTCGGATGTCCAGGCAGTCAGATTGGCATTCCCAGTTAAGTGGGGGGCGGGGGCTCAAAGAGAGTCCAGCACTGAAACTCTGGCCCCTGATGTTCATGGGTCCCAGCATGCCCCCCCCGTGCTTTATACTGGGGGAAGGTGCCAGATTGACAGCCCTGGTGAACGGTGCCCCCCAGACAAGCTCCCCCCTATTCTGCGCCGTGTTGTCAGGCTGATCCTCAGCTCCGCCTCCATGGGCTGTTCA